AAAGAGGTTGTGTGAAGGAAAAAGGTGTTTAATGATCAGAGTGTATGCATGGTTAACATTATTTCCAGTGTGTATTAGAATTAGAAACTTTTCAAACTTTTCATGTGCTGCACACTTCCTTCAGTTTAGAGGCAATGATATAACATATTTGAAAGGGGAGTTGAGAGAAAGTTGATTGAGAAAGATAGATTTGGACTGGAAAGGAAGAAGTAACTATCCCTATTCACAGATGACATGATCTTGTATGCAGAAAATCCTGAGGATTCTACAAAAATGCTATTAGAATTAAAACACAAGTTCAGCAGGGTTGTAGGATATAAAATCAATATGTAGCAACAAATTGTATTTCTATATGCTAGGAATTAATGATCTAAAAATGAAATTTAAAATACCGTATCAAAAGGAATAGAATACTTATGGGAATAAATTTAACAAAAGTAATGCCAAACATGTACATTTAAAATTACACAACATTGTTGAAAGAAATTAAAGAAGATTAAATGAAAAGACAACCCATGGTTACGGATCAAAAGCTGTAATAGTAATAACTGTTAAGAAGCCAATACTCTATAGATTCATTGCAATCCCTATCAAAATCTCAGTTGTCTGACTAGGTAATCCTAAAATTCATTTGGGAAATGCAAGGTCAGAATGGTCAAAACAACATAGAAAACTCACACTTTCAGATTTTGCTCACTGTACTGCTACAATATTATAAGGAAAGGCATCAGCCAGGTGCAGTGGCTCATGCCTGTAATCCTAGCACTTTGGGAAGCTGAGGTGAGAGAATTGCTTGAGACAGGAGTTTGAGAAACATAGTGAGACCTTGTCTCTATGGAAAAGATAAAAATTAGCTGGGCATGGTAGTGTGTGTCTGTAGTTCCAGCTGCTTGAGCATTTAAGGCAGAAGGATCGTCTGAACCTAGGAGGTTGAGGTTGTGGTTGGCCTTGATCGTGCCACTGCACTCCAGCCTGGGTGACAGAGTGAGACTCTGACTCATAAAAATAAAAATAAACACAAAAATAAACATAAATATAGGCATGTCACTTAATGGTATAGGATTAAGAGTCCAGAAATAAACCTTTACATATATGGTCAATTGATTTTTTTAAATGGGTATCAAGGATCTTCAATAGGGAAAGCAGTCTTTTTCATAGATAGTGCTGGGACTACTGAATATTCATATGCAAATGAATGAAGCTGGATCTTTGTCACATCATACACAAAAGTTATCTCAAAGTGGATCTAAGCTCTAAACATAATAATTAATGCTGAAAAGCTCATAGGAGAAAACATAGAAGTAATCTTTGTGACCTTGTTTTAGACAATGGTTTGCTGCATATGATAACAGAAGCACAAGAAACCAAATAAAAAATAGATAAGTTGGGTTTTATAAAATTTAAAAACTGTTAGGCTTCAAAAGACACCATCAATTAAGTGAAAAGACAACATACAGAAAAGAAAAATAGTTGTAAATTATATATTTAATAAAGAACTTTTGTCCAGAATATATAACTAACTCTTACAACTCAACAATAAAAACACAAACAACCCAGTTATACAAAGGGTACTGGATCTGAATAAACATGTCTCTAAAAAAGAGACAAAATGACCAAAAACACATGACAAGATGCCCAACATAATTAATCATTAGGGAAATGAAAATCCGAACCACACTAAGATGCCACTGTATCTTAGGTTGTCTGTCATAATAAACATGGACAATCACGGAACTCTCAGACACTGCCGGTAGGAATGCAAAATAGTGCAGTTGCTTTGGAAATCTGTTTGGCAGTTCTAAAACATTAAACATAGATTTATCATATGACCCAGAAGTTCTACTCCTTGGTATATACTGAAGGGAATTGAAAGTATATTTAGACCTAGAAACGTGTATACCAATTCATTATTCCCAGTAGCCACAAAGTAGAAACAACCCAAATATCCCATCAACTGATGAATACAGAAAATGTGACTATTTCCAAACAATAAAATATTATTTAGCAGTAAAAAAGCATGAGGTTCTCGACTGGATGCTGTGGTGGTCCCGGCTACTCAAGGGACTGAGATAGAAGGACCACTTGAGCGAGGAGTTCAAGATCAGTCTGGGCATCATAAGAGGCCCTGTCTCCATGTAGAAAATCATAATAATAATTGAAGGAATGATGCTCTGATACATGCTACAACATGAATACACCCTGATAACCTTGTGCTAAGTGAAAGAAGCCAAGCCCAAATGCCACATGTTTTTTGATTGCATTGATATGAAATGTCTAGAATACACAATTCTGTAGAATCAGAGTATAGATTGGTAGTTACTGGCAGCTGAGGAGGGGGGCAATGGGAAGTGGCTGTTTACGGATATGCAGTTTCTTTGTGGGTGTGATGAAAGTGTTCTGGAATCAGATCATAAGTGATGGTCGCCAATTTTGTGAGTATACGAAAAACCACCGAGTCTTAAAAGGTAGAAAAAATGAAAAGTCCTACTGCATTCTTTACTGAGAAATAAAAATGTCAACATGCCACCTTAGGAAAAGCATGCCACTTTATTGTTTTTAGCTGTCTTCTTTTTTAAGATGAGGGTTTGAAAAGTTGTTTCCTCTTCAGATATCAGCAAGCCACGTTTTATTAGTTCTGTCTTGTGAAGATATTATAAATACCATCAGAGAGAAGGGCTTCCTAGATTTTATCAACACTTGATTCCAATTTAATTTATTATTATTATTATTGCTTTAAATAGAAATGAGGTTTCACTATGCTGCCCAGGCTGGTCTCGAACTCCTGGGCTCAAGCAATCCTCCCTCCTCGGCCTCCCAAAGTGCTGGGATTATAGGTGTGAGCCACCACACCTGGCCTTCAAATTTAATTTTTAAAATGTATTTCAAATTAATTTAAAAATGGAATACGAAACAGCACACGCTCTCAGATGTACAAGGCCCCTCCCCCCCAAAAACCCTTGACTTTATTTATAAAAAATTGTATATTCTTACATGTTTAAACTCCAGTCACCTTCAAATTACTCTCCTTTTGATGTAGTACACTTATGGAGATGCTTTTTTTCACTGCTTAAAAACAGTTTTTGAACTTGTTAATTTTGATATCTTTTAATGTTTCTGTTGTTTTTGTTTCACCTCTTCTACGTGGGCAAAACATTTCCCTTTGAGGACTGTTTTTTTTCATCTGGGGAAACAAAAAAGTCACTAGGGACGAGATCAGGTGAATAGGGGGAGGGTTGGACACGGGGATCATGCTGCTTTTGGTTAAAAACTGCTGAACACTCAGAGTGGTGTAGGCAGGTGTGCGGATAAATCATCCATCATGAAATGTACAAACATGATGAAAGACTCTCAAAAAAACCCAGCAAAACAAAACAAAAAAAATGATGATTTGCTGAAGCCTCTCACAACAATGCTAGCTGGTACACTGATGCCGAATGGGTCCCTAGAACACGTACCTAGTGGGGAAAGCCTATACTACAAGAGGCCTGCCCTCCAAAAAATAATTTCAGGTATTTTGGGTCCCCATTGTATTACTGTTCATCAAATTTTAATACACCTCCTTTTTTGGTTTGGAATCAAGTCTTTCATGCCATTTCAGTATATATATTCAGACATTTCATAAGTATTTTGCTAAATAGGAGGTTTTAGCTGTGTGATAGTTGAAAAACTGCAACATCTGTCCTCTTTCATAAAGTGAATGTGAGTGCGCTATATTTCTAGTTTAGATGGATGAGGGTATTCTTGATACAAAGTAACCAAAACCAAGTTCATAAGGAGAATTGGATACTGGAGCTATTAGGACTGTAGCTGTTATCCATAAATCCCCAAGTAAAATTTTTTGCTTATCAGAAGGTTTTCATTTTCAGGTCTCACTGACTGTCATAATAGGACAGTATTGTAAATTTGATTTACTATAGTACATCTACTGTATACTAATTAAATATTGTTTTCTTGCCTCATATATTGGTGCTCTACATAGGATACCACTGAAATTTTATGCAGTTAGTGATCACATTAGCGTGTAGAATCTAAAATGTTGAACTCAAAAAGTGAAGTGTATGAATGGTGGCCACCAAGGGCTGGGACCAGGGCAGATTGGGGAGAGGTTGGTCAAAGGATGCAAAACTTCAGTCAGACAGGAGGAATAAATTTGTAGTTTGGTGATTATAGTTAATAACAATTTATTGTATACTTTGAAAATTGCTAAGAGGGTAAAGTTTGAGTGTTTTCACCACACAGAAAAAAGTGAGATGATGGGTATGTTCATTCTCTTGAATTAGCCATTCTACAAATGTATACATACATTAAATATCATATTTTATACCATTATATACAACTTATTTGTGAATTAAAATAATGAAATGAGAAAAAATAAATTTTATGCAGCTGGGATCCTGGAAATCTTTTTCAACACATTACATTTTGTATTTCATTTTCATTCTTCAGGATGTTTTGAAAGCATTTTTTTCCCCTGCACAGAAGTCTAGCAATGAAGGGGAGACTTATGACTGAAAAAAAAAATTTGCTGACTTTAAATAGATCATAACTTTTTTTCAGAGGCTCTGTCCTAGAGATGACACTGTACAAACATTGTTTCCTAGTTCATAAGGCTAGTTAGTGTTATGACCAGTATAAATATTTTAGTTGCTATTTTGTGAGTGGTATTTGGAAGGTGTTACATATTCTTATTTTAATCTCTTTATGTATATGAAGCAACTGAATCCTTGTGTGGGGCTTTATCAGGATTAAGTGTGGCATGTTTCGTTAGGTTATCTCTTATGCTGAAAGTGTTTTTTTGTGTGGTTATACTTATGTAGACTAAGTAGAAGGGATAGCTGCAAGATTATGAGAAGCATGTGTTACAGGATGGTGGGAGGAAGGAGTAACTGAGTCAAATTAATAAGTATTATTGAGTGCCTCATATGTGTGAATAGGCATTGATACATCCCAGGCCCTGTTGTTCCAAAACAAATCATGTGTCCATTCTGGTCTGTTCACAGGTGATCATGGAGGAAGCACTTTACTCCCACCGAATGTCACAAATGAGTTTCCAGAATATGGGACCATGGAGGAAGGTGGAGAAGGCCTTAGAACTTCTCTAGAATTTGATGGTGAGTCTCTGCCATGCCACTCACAAGGGCAGCAGGGGGTCCAGCTTTCCACTGGCCACTACTCTGGACTTGACAGTGTTACAGAAGGACCAAAAGATGTCAGAGAGGCCCCCTCTCAAAGTCACCTCAAAGAACCAAGTTTACAGCCCATTGACTCTTTGATTTCTGCTCTGAAAGCCACAGAGGCGAGAATAGCATCAGGAACATTACAGGCTGCAAAGGTACTGGACAAAGATGTTGTTTCTAGTTTTTCACTTCAACAGGTGGAAAAAGAGTTAGGCATTGCCAGTTGTAAAACACAGAGAGCCAACAAACCACTCCCTGCTGGCCAAGAAAAACCACCAGGCATACCTCTTTCAGCTGAAGTAACAACTGAGGAAAATCTTTATTTGAGCATCCAGAAGGATCTGACTGCCCTGCTATCTGGAGATACTCAGGCACAACTTCCCCAGCGAAATGGAGAGAAAGGGGATGATGGGAGAAAAGGGGCTTTGTGTTTGCGGGAGCCAGATTGTCCTGTGTCCTCCTTGGGGAGCCCAGCAGTGACCCACAACTCTGTGAGCAGCACTGGTTTTTTGAAAGAGCAGAGGTCTGCTCTCGGCAGAGAGTACCCAGTGGGATGTGATCGAGGCAGCTCTCTGGGACGCACAGGACGGATCAAACATGTGGAATTTCAAGGGGTAGAGATACTGTGGACGGGAAGAGAAAGGAGAGAGCATAAAACCCAGCATACCGTAGGTTTCGAGACATCACTGGAAAGAACAGCCTCTACAGAAAGCAAAGAGTTTTCCAAAGTGCCAAGCCATCTCATGTCATCTGCTGGTTTGTGTAATTCAATTAATTTAACTGAGAGTGTTTGGGATGGATCCTGGAAAACTCCTTCAGAGAGGCCTGGCACTAGCTCAGGGGCATATTCCCCTGTGCGTCTTGATGAGAGTGGAGAGGATGAAGTCTTCCTGAAGGAAAACAAACAACATCTTGACAAAAAACCTGAACCAGAGAGAGAAAAAGAAAGGTGAGCTCCCAGAGTACCCCACTGTTTGTGATGCTTATTATATATGAGAGAAAGCTGTTTCTAGTATTTGGTATGAGAACTCAGCTCATAGTACACTGGGTCCTTGTTATCATAGAATGGAAGAGAAGTTACCATAAGCTAACACCTTCTAAGCTAAAATTCCTTTTAAGTTTCTGAGATATTAAAGTGATCTAGTTACAAAGTTATCCATTAGGCTTGGGCCAGGGAAAGAGTTCTGAAGAGACTAAACACTAAACTATAGCATTCCATTTCTGATATTTTATTATATTTGACAGGTTTCAAGTTTTCTAACATCAAGGAAACTAAAGCACCCTAAAGACAATTATACAATTATCTTTAATAATATGAAGAGGTTTGGACTCTTGACATGCCCTATACAATCTTTACACCCTAATTTAGACATTTTTCCAATACCTGCATCCCAGCCTACCTACAGGTATGAACACAGAGATTCTGGGTTTGGTCCACTCAGTATTCTGTGCTTAGAAAGGTCATCTCAGGAGGTCAGCAGGAGACTTTATAATGCAGTTGTTTTATGATATTCACATGGAGTTCCTT